ACTGGTAAACAAATACACAAATATGAATTTTTTGTAATGCTATCTGGGCAAGCAATGTTTTAATAAGAGTCATTGTGAATTGCAGCTTCCAAGAAAAGATGCATGTGACGATGACCACTAAAATGAAAGACCAAGTCATCAGAAAAGATGTAAAAGATGACAGGTATTTTGTTTTTATCTATAGTGTGGTCGCCTTAAACTTACGGCCAGCCGCCATGACGCATGTGAAGCTAACTCCACAAATGAACAAGGTGCTAAAGAAATCCAGCTGCACCCCTAACCAGCTTGACGTGGCCAGGAAGAGGAACCAGGCCCGGGTGTGGCCGTCCAGGTACCCGTCGAAGTCCGCAATGAAGCGCTGCTGGGCTTTGAACGCCCGGACAGTGCTTAGACCAGTCAGAGTGGCTGACAGGTGAGAAAACACGGGGCTCCGAGCTGCAAATGTGATCATAAGATATGACAATATTTGTTATCTGAAATTGTTAACGGACTGTATGACAGCGTAGTCAAATTATACAGTAAAATGAATCCAAACGGAGTTCTATACTTGCACAATGGAAATCTTGTACAATGGAAAACGGTGGAAATACCATCGTCTTTTACCAGATAAAATTGTTAAGGAAACTCAGTTTGTAATAAAGTAACGAATGCAAAAGTAGCTCCGGGCATTTACGACGACATACTTTTTTCAAGATGTATTTTTTGCGTTGGGGAGATGTTAATTATATATATAACGGTTTTTTGCCCTTACCCAACGTATATTAATAAGCACTGTATGCTCAGTGCTTGTCCGAGAGGGTAAGGGCAAAAACCGTTTGATATATATAAACGACATACTTCTTTAATCTGTAAATCAGATGTTCTTTTCAACTTTTTTCTTGCGCCTTTCATATTCAAGCAGGAAATTCAAAATCCTGCAAGGGTTGTATGAAAAAACATTGCAAATGGAAAATATAAATCGTCTCAAATAATTTGCGAAACTGTGTGAAGTACACATGCTTACGTCCTTTAAATCAGACATATATTGCTGCCAATGTCTTCAACTTTACTTCAACAGGTTTGTGACCTCTCCAATAAGATAAACTGACATACCTACTCCTTCTAGCCTCTTGACTTCTCGAGAAGAGGCTAAGTAGTATCTCCTTGTGAGGAAAAGCACGATGGCGATCGGCAAGGTGAAGGCGAGGCAGAAAGGATTGAAGATGGAAATCAAGGTAATAATGGCTAAGGTATTCACAGTGATCTGGACAGGAAGGTTAAAAAGAAGCCAAAAATCACAATTTACGGGACAGAAAAAAATACGTTTATGTGGTTATCGATTTTGATGCAGTCAAAAATTATTTGAAGAACTGCCATGAAAAAAAGGAAAGTCATTTAATGGACGTTGTAGAGGCTAGGGGTTGCGTCGGGTTCCCCATCGACACATTTCAAATTAGTGTTCATTTATATTCAAGTGTTTACTTGCAGTGCTTGATAAAGCAATTCCATTGAGTCTGAAAGAACCTTACCTGCAGAAAGTCTGTGAATGTTCTTGGCAAGACATCGTCCATAATGCCAATATCTTTGGCAAAGCGATTCAGAATCCGACCTGAAAATAGAAAAAATATATTCCACGCCCCCAATCTTGTCTGGAATTCCTACAAAAGTCGCAAGAAATAATAATTTAACAATATGAAAATAGTCCGTTGTATTAAACAGAGCATGCACAGTCAACGCAGCATGTCACATGTGCGAATCACGTGTCCCATACTGCCCAATGAGCATCTACCAAAACATCGAGCTTGGCCATGAGAAGGCTGTCGGCCATTTACTTCCTACATGCAGCCATTGCCATAATGGAAAATTACCACAAGACAAATACATGTAATTCCCTTGACTTCGCACCATAGGCGCTCTAGCATGCAGTCGACTCGTCTTACCCACTGGGTTTGTATCAAAGAACTGCATGGGCGCTCTGATGATGGAGGCAAACATTTGGTCGTGAAGAGCCCGTGAGGCCGTCACGAACAGATAGAAGAACAGAAAGCTACGGGCAAACAAGAGAACCGTCGATCCTCCACACAACATGGCGTAAATTTGGACGTAATATGACTGGATGTCGTACGTGGTCGCATTCTGGTTATCCTGTAGGAAATGCAAAACGGATGAGACAGACAGAAAATAAATGGGAAGCAACTACATTAGTAAATGTCCCAGGTCTTTTTTAAATCGCAGTCTGGAACATGATCATCAGCTGACCTGATTTCTGGCCGCTAAATACTGCTCTTCCTCGTAGACCCACGTCGCCAGCCAGAGGTCCGTGAAAGTCAGGGAAGCCTGAGTCGGAAAGCAAAGCAAAATATGAAAATGTATGGTTTATTTGTTGATCAAAATGCTGTTTGAACTCCTTGCCAGCTGCTTGTCCGATTTAACATACTTCTTCAGGTGGAATTTCTTCACTGTTCACAAAAGGTCCAATGTGACAACACAATTTTTGTACCGCGGCAGACATAGACCACTGTATACTCCTCAATAGATAATTCTGATTTCTTTATTACTAACCAGTGACAGTCTTCAGATTTGAGGACTTAAATGTTTCATTAAGGTGTCAGGGTGGAGTTGGGATGTAATACGCTTTACAATTCTTGCTCAAACGTAGCTTCAAGGATTTGAAATATTTGGACTTTCTTTTTAATATTTGGTAAATTTTCCTGGATAGGTCGCCTGGCACTCGATCACTGAAAATCGTATCTGCGAAGTTCCTCACAAATGAATAGTCTTTGTGCTATTTCTATATACACATGTATGAAACTGTATTTTCTGCTTTTAAGAGTAAAAACAGCAGTCTGAGGTTTTTGGGACAAACGCACTCGGCAAAACTTTCGCTGTTGCTCTTGCTTTCATTATGTACAGAGCTCATATACTATCGTGAGGCGGGAATTCGTTTTTCAGCATCATGCAAACGATTCAGTACAGGTATTCATATGTGTTACAGACAATAAGTATATTGGCATTCTCTAGTGTCACTGGCTCCCATCTTCATTAGGTCCCCTTTTTAATGAGCAGTATTTTTACCTGTGCACCAACCACGATGATCAGCCAGACGAGCAGAAAGAGGAATCCCGCCGCTGCTCGGAAGAACCGGATGTACACCATCCACTCAACTGTACCTACCGCCTTCTCCTCCGGGGCAATGTCCACAGGTGTCTCCACCTGACACAAGGGCGAAGAGGACGTAAGAAAGGGCAAAGAAAAGAAACCAAAGAGGAAAAATTGCCAGAAAAGAAAACAAGGCAGATACCAGCGCAGGAATTCTCAAGAGTAACAAAGACTCTTCATTGAAAGTCACTTGTTTTATATATAAATACACTCTCTAAAACTAGGACACCAACCTCATCTTGGTCTGGACAAAACGAAGTGTTGGAGCACGTTGATATTTTTCTTTCTCTCCTCCACCTTTCGAGGACCTGCACCTTATCTCCAGTGAAGTCACCGTCCTCGGATTTCTTCTTCAGGAGGGCTGCAAAGTCTATGCCTTCCCTCTGCAACTCCTGGTAGGTTCCGTAACCGGATGCACTCCCCTGTCAAATTATGTCACACCCCCAAAAAAAACACCATGAGTCAATACCAGAGTAATTCGGACAGCCCCTCAGGTCTAAGATTAGTATTCTGTACTGAAATGTCTCTGCAACCAGACAAGTAAAATGTGGCAAATGGCTAAATATCTCAAATATTATGAAACTAACTGAATACTTTTATATCCATGAATAGGCGAACCGGAAAATGGACACTTTAGTTTCGAAGTTTTCAATGGCCTTTAATTTTAATCAGAATTACCTGTTTCAGGATGAGAATCTTATCGGCCTTGTCCAAGAACTGGAGCTGATGAGTTACCAGGATTCGCACCTTGTCCCTCATTTGATGAAGAATGCACCTTTGGAAAACCACCTTCATTATTTGACTCTTAAATTAAAAAGAGAACTTTAGATTTCTGCAAATAAGGTTAATATTGTGCTTAGATTTTTGTTTACAATATACTTCTTCCAATGTGCGAATCTGCACTGTCAAGAAATTCCAATACAGTACTTTACCGACACCTGGCACTGTTGTGCTTTGGAATATTCTTCTCAAAGGATAGGATGCAAAAATAATGATGTCAAACAAAAAAATGGATTCTATGAGAAATCAAGATGGCTTACTTTTCAAAGAGGTGTCTCCCAACTGCAGGATCAACTGCGCTCAGTGGATCATCCAGCAAATACACATCAGCATCAATGTACAAGGCCCTGGCCAGGCTGACCCTTGCCTTCTGACCTCCGCTGAGGGTCACTCCACGCTCGCCCACCAGTGTCTGATCTCCATGCGGTAGTAGCTCAATATCCTATGGATACAAGATTATTTAAAATCCTTGAAGCCAAACATTGAAGCCAAAAATTGGCTTTTAAGCTTGGTACATGTTCCTTGCTATTAACTTCGATAAGCTCCTTTTTGGAGGGGGAAATTTAGAGCTCTTGGCAATCTTCTACACCTCTAGCTTCGTGAATGTAGTCTCTTGGTTTGAGGCCAAAAATTAACCCAGTGGAGCCCCTTTATTATCTCAAGAAAGAGAAGATCATTTCATTTGATAAAAATGTTGTGAATTCCATTCAAATATCAATGATAGGGGAGCTGGTGTTCAGCCCAGTCTGAGACATTACCGGGATTTTAAAAATAGCCTCTGTCTGCTGCAAACCTACCCTGGTGAGCGCGCATTGCTTGATGACTCGCTTGTACTTGGCCGACTCGTACTCACTCCCAAAGAGGATGTTGTCCCTGAGAGAGCCAGACAGGATCCAGGGTTGCTGAGCCGTGTAGCCAACCCAACCGGGTAGGGCGTTGACTCCTGATACGGTCGGAAGCTCCCCCAGCAGGGCCATCAACAGGGAAGACTATCAAGGGAAAATACACTAAGTAGACATGATAATGATGGAAATCTTTACCCCAGCTTGGCATCTTTGTATTTGGTCCATTGTCCTATATTTGTGCAGTATAGATATCAAAGGTGGTACTGACCTATTGTCCCATGATTATACATATAAAGGTGCCTGATGCCCGTGCAGTTTTGTATACTCTAGTGTTGTAACGATATTAAGGCAGACATATGTCCATTGTCCCATAGAGCTGAACACATGCATATCAAAGTGTTGAAGGCCTACTACTGTGCTATACTTTTGTGAGTCTGTAGGTCCACTGGTCCCAATATACACTACGGGTGTATTTACAATGGTGCTGAATTAACACCACGCTTGTTGAGGTATAGGCCTAAAATGAGTATTCAAGACTCACCTTTCCACATCCGACGGGACCAACCACCGCGAGAAGCTCTCCAGGCTCAACACGAAAACTGATGTCTTGAAGCACAGTGTTGCTTAAATCCTTGTTTTGAAAACATAGTCAAAATAAGATGAAATTTCTCTATACAAAGGCGCGTTAATTATACCAAATGCATGACGCTGTGTTCACAGCCTAATTACAACAAGGGTGTGTGCGTCTGAAAGTGAATATGATGAGGCTACCAAAGAAGTGTTCACTGAACTACAAGCAAAGCTTTTGTGGTGCCGCATAAACCATCTTTCTTCTCGCCGGAGTAATTGGATTAGAAAGGTACAGCAAGGAATTTCATTTGTGAAGGCTTCATGTAACGGTACCTTGTTCCAGGAACCATATAAATTCTCCACAAGAATTCCTTTCCTGTCTCCCGTTTCAAGAGAAGGTTTGGGCTTGTCAAGATCGTCATCTTCCTCCATCTCAGAAGGTCCAACGTAACCTCCAACCTCCTCATCTCCCTTGGACTGGATCAGATAGTTTGTGCTGCTCGTTCGTACTTCTTTTTCCAGGGGCCGTGAGGCAGCTGTGACATCTTCCGCGAGGTTGTCATCATTAGCTTCCCTTGGAGCAACAAAGCCGTTTGTAGCTATCTCCTCCAACAGAATCACGGGCTTTTCCAATCCAAAATTGGCGTTAATATTCACAGTGGCCTCACCAGTGTGTCTTGCAAGCTCTTCCATAAGCAGAAATTTCTGGTTATCAAAGGTAGAAATAGTTTGCATACGCTGCAAACACCTACAAGATCTTGAGACTCAATTAAGCACTGAATAATTTGGATGAGGAGGTGATGGCTTTATCCCATTCAGAGTTGAGCTCTGTTATAGATTGATGTGGGAATAAACTTGGGTACTTTGTGGGCAAAAGTAACTGTTTAGTCGGAGGTTTGTCTTTGTCCGATTAATTTCCACATAGAGACTAAAATGGACTCTCGAGAGGGTAGAAATAATGGGGAGGAACTGACTACTATAGAATCGGTGCCATGGTTACCCAAGCAGTGGGTTGGGTAGAGGTGTTTTACATGATGCTATCGAGAATGCATTTTCGTCCCTTCAGGGAGTCATTAGCCGCACGATTCCTGAGGAATCCAGGTATGGTTTTAGTGAGTGAGTTGCACTCACAAGACGGGAAATTTGGGTAGCCGTCTGTATGGGACATGATATTAACCACACATATTAGTTGGATGGGTTTTGTTCATCCAATAGGGAAACTACGATATCAAGGGCGTCATCGCGTTCTTCAGGTGTAGAGGACTGGTCGTTCTCTACGTGGCTGAGTTTGGCTCTGACAAAATTTTTCCGGATGTTGTTTGCTCTTTTGTAGGCAACAAGTGGAAGTTTGGGGAAAATCTCCCTGAGAAGTGGATTACTTGAGATAAGGTGCCAATGTTCCAGCAGAGCATTTCTGGCATCTTTGTGTTTCACTTGTGGATGGTGTGTAGTGGCAAAGACGAGGGGGAGTTCTTTCTTTACTTTCCTTTTTTTTCTGTGTGAATTAAAGATTTCCGTTGTTGGACATCAATACCTTGCATCGACTTCTGAAATTGGGCTTCGGTACAACCTCGAGTTAGAATTTTTTCTTGAAACTTTGCACCTTTTTCAGAAGTCAGCCTTATTTTTAGTATTTCTAGCATATCTCAGGATTTCACCTTTGATAAAGCCGTGGAATACGTGTTGTGGATGGGATGAATTCCTTTCCAAAAATTGGAATGTTTCCGTTGGTTTCGTGAATGCTTTATTATCCAGGGTACCAGTTTTGCAGAAACGCTGACCTTTGAATATGGTAAGGTCCAGGTAGGTGATGGAAATTTCAAATGCGTCAAAAGTAGATTTGAGGGTGGGACGCAATTGGTTCATATGGTGAACAAGTTGGGTGAAGGAATCAAGATGGCCGTTGAAGATGATGAGTAAGTCATCTCTAAATCTTGCCCAGAAAAGGACTGCATACGTTGTAAATACCTACAAGATCTCGAGACTCAATTGGGCGCTGAATAATTTGGTTTGTAATCTGGTATTAGGACAATGAGGTACTCAAGTTTATTCTAGGTTATTTTGGATAGTGAGATATGGCCATCCACCTCGTCCCCAAGTTTGAATTCTAATATCCTTACCTGAATCCTACGAATGGAAACGAGTCCCTCTGCCCCGTTCATCACGCCAAACGGGAAGAATAAGGACAAACAGAGTCGAGCGCCATAGAACAACGAGACCACCGGGTACACCTTGGACGACGTGACGGGGTTGCCGAGCGAGGCGTAGACCACGAACGTGGCAAATGCCGTCAGAATGGTGGCATCAAAGAGCAAAGCAAAGATCAGCGCTCGTAGGTAAGAGCTGTACAATATCTTGCGTATCTCCTTGCTGCAGACCAAAACAGCACAAGCAGAAATCGCTACATATTCTAATGTTTTCAACAAAAAGACTGACAGGAACTATGCTCAACTTGCAGTGACAAAATGGAAGGACAATGGTCTAAAAAATCACTCCGTGAGTTCTCAACATTTTGAGCGGTAAAGGAAAATTCCTTGTCAATGTGAAACAATTGCTGTCGTACATGTCCCATTGTTTCTTTCCAGTTAAAACTTTATCAAAGGGCTTCTATGCGTTGTGCATGCATCCTTTTATTGAACTGTATTGTACAATGCCTGCAACCGAATTAAGCAAAAATTCCTGGGTATGAAATAATTTTTTTTTACTGGTTTAAAATAGTATGCTATAATGACAATCAACTTACCCTCGGCTCTCGGCGACTAGTTTTCCAAAGGATTGTTCCCAAGCGTAGATCTTGATGACGCGCATCCCGGATATCACCTCATTCATGATGCGGAGTCTTGCATCCGACAACAAGGCCGTCTTAGATCTGACAAGGAAGGGAGGAGGAAAGGGAGAAGGAACGTCAAGAGTGTAAGGGGCAGAAAGATAGAATGGACGTGAGAACTCAGGAACAAACAAGCAAGTATCTCTTGGTAAAGTAGATCTTACCTCAACTTGGAAAACAGCTTCCCCGTGTAACCCTGCAGGGCCGCCATCAAGATCAAGACGGAGAGCCCCGCCAGGCAGGAAACTCCGATCTCTCGCCAACATAAGACGAAAAGCACAGTCAGCTGGAATGGTGCTATCCACAAATAATGTGCGAACACAAAGGCCTGCAAAACAGAACCATTATAGGTTCAGAGAATAGAGGGTGTTAAAAAGTTTCAAAAGGCCGGTTTTCAAAGGAAAGCAGCTGCGAACAACACAAAAGAGCGATTAAGGTTTTAAGCTCAGTATAAAAATATGTATGCAAACATGTCCCATTACTTCTCAACATTTCGAGACAAATGATCCACTCTATTTTTGAGCATGCTCCGTGTATCACAGGTTAAAATATTAGCCAGAAAACGTATACCCCCGTTTATCTTAAAATCATTTTCATTTCAATAATAAAGTTACTTAATTATTGTTTATGAAGCTTGCAACCAATCATTTAAAGGATCCTTTGCGGGCCCCGCGGCTGACGTCATTCTTTTGCTTGCTGCAGCCGTGGTCAAGGAGGCATCTTATCAATACTGTTCCTTTCCCGCACTCATTACAAAACGGAAACACCACCATGCAGACTGTCTTTCAAGAGACAATAAAGACCAAACTCACAAGCCTGCTCGATCAGGAACTTAAGAAATTTGTACACTAGTGTAGCTATTTTAACCATTCGACCCCTGAACTGGCTGGGTATAGCCATCTCACCATCTGGGTTCGTAGGAGACGGCAACTGGAGAAATATTTCTCATAGGCTTCATCTAGATCTATTTTGTAGTAGAGTAAAGATAATGTCTCCACTCCTTTATAAATTCGTTGAGACACACTGATAAAGTGAAAGGACCTGTCGTTCTGGAAGCCTGTTTCCGATCCTTAGGCTACTTACCTGATCAAATCTGTTGACGTCATTTGATAGGATGTTCACAAGTTGACCGATTGTGGTCTCACTGAGAGCGAGGTTGCTGAGCTTCAAGGCCTACAGCAAAATATATTTGACAATGACAAGTCTAAAATGACAGTGCAACGTCTATTGTATATTGATTGCACGCCATGTTTTGTCTGCGTATCCGAATTTGGACAAACAGGGTGGAGCCGACTGGATTATGGGAGATGCCACCCAGAGCAAAGAAAGCAAAGACCCATTACCTTTCTGAAGACGAGGGCCGAGCAAGCAGTTCTGAGTCTCATCCCCGTCAGGCCAAAGCCGAAGAAGCAGCAGTGGTGAGTGACGATGAGACATAGGGAAGACAGAGAGAGACCGGCGGCTTGCAGGTAGGCCTCAGTGGTTGATACAAGGTCCGTGGAGAAGTACAGAACCAATCGTGCCAACATCACCGGCTGGACCATCTTCAAGAAGACCTCCTACGAACAATGTCCATGACCAGAATAATTACAATTAACACTAACAGAGCCGGGGGCAGAATCCGCCCCTCCTCCGACATTTTCTTTGATATCGTCGCAGTACATTTTTTGTAGGAGTGCAGCATTCAAGAGTTAAAGGGTAACGTACTCTTTGCAGTCACTGTGACACCAATTGGTGAAAATCGAACACACTGCGAGTTGTCTTTCAGCGTCCAAAATGTTACACAGTATTTGCAAATTATTCAAGAATTGTTTCTTAATGCTCACGCCAGTACATTTTCTTTTGTCTGACAACTTAAAACATTTTTCTTTTTTGGTTTTTCGGTTCTTCGGTTTTCAGGCTCCATCCAAAATAATCTCTTTAACGCGAAAGGAGTTACTCCATCAGTGGAAAATATTATTATCAAAGATTGAGCAACAGTTACGTTTTATACCTTAAAGAAAGCGGGCAAACCGTATAACATGAACTTCACACCAAACGCTCTGATTAACGCCCAGCAGAGGGACGGAGGCCTCCCTGTGACATTACTTGTTTCCAGTTCTTTATTCCATTCCCTAGCAACAAAAGTAAAGCAAATCGGTGGCTGTTAAGACAACCCCACAAAGATGTTCATGCAGTGAGCCCCGGTAATTTATCGGGGGAATATCACTCTGTCGTTAGAGAAGAGTGTTTATAGTAAATAATAAGTAATAAAATGCTTTAAAGGTGGAGAACACAGACAGATGGTCGGGTGATCGTAGCCAGGCAGACCTTTAACTCTGTAGGACGACCCGATGACAAGAACCAGGAGCGTCCACAATAAAAGATGCACACTGAACGCTTCCTCATCAGCCAACGCACTGCTGACCAAAATCACCTGCTCATCAAGCTTAGGAATGCGCGCCCGAGTGACGGGGACACCACAGTAATAGTGGCAACGAATCGGTCTTTAAGGTGCATGGCCATCATACAAATCAATCTGTACTTGAAATGCCCCTATTCTGTCCGAATAGTTCAAGTCACCAGTGGCCATGATACAATGCAAGTACAATGTTACAGTACAAAGGTTACACAAAAACTTGCTCATCATTGTTAACCAAACCGTTTGTGGCCAAAAGTTACGACGGTGTTGAGTGAGGGTAAAGCGGGTGGAAACGGTCAATTATATACGTTGGATCTAGCAACCAGGCAATCGCCTTGTCGACGTACTTTGCCAGGTTTACCGAAAAGACTCAAACTATTTACCCTCATACCTGCCGCCTGTCAAGAGGCTTGAGTTTTTCGGTATTCGCAATTTGAACAGATTTTCCTGGGCAATTTTGGAAAATGTGAGAAGCGTTTTATTATCGTGCAAATAGAATGAACGTTCAAAACCTGTTATGCGTGAAGTTTAAAAAAAATGATTGGGTGTGTGTGAGTTTGTTTTTGCATGCAATTGGGGACCCTGAACAATAGAGGACAATAAAGTCCCCGATTGACAGAGGGTCCCCGATTGACAACTGTGTACAAAACGTATGGGTGGTCTTCTAAAAAATGTTAGTAGTACAAACAATAGAGGAACAATAGGGGGTCCCCAGTTGCAGGCAAATACACACTTGTGGGTGTGTGTGTACTGCTCTTCTTCATTGGATGAAGACTGTATGGAATCTTGCGAGAACTGAAAAGTGCACTTTTTAAAACAACATGCAAAATTGACTGAGCATGTGCAGACAAGTAAGGGCACGTTTGCTTTCATGTAAATCCAGGAAAAGACTACTCAGTTTATATGTCTTCATGTTCGATTTGTGAACTCGAAATTTGCTATGATGACATCATCATTCTGTTCATAACATGCAAATGTGCATTAGCATAAAATAGAAAAGCTCTGATATCTGGGTTGAAATAGTAAAACAGTCATTTAAAATCAGGTTAATTGAAACCAAAAGGTGTGATTTCAAGGGGTTTTAGTAAACTTTGATAACATATTTCTATTAAATGGCCCCTTTAATGATGAAAATGACAATTAAGTTGTAAAAAAGTGAAACAATTACCAGCACAAAGCAAGGGGAGGTTCTCTCCGCCTCATATCTTGCTTCATATGGGGTAGGCGGCCGTAAAATGCAAAATAGCGGTGTCGGAGTGAACAGTTGAGCCGCTCTGTGTTGTGGATATAAATTGGATTGCAGGCAAAGGGGTCCCACACATTCTGTGTCTAGTATAATCCTTGTTGCTTCATCGTGAACCAGTGTTCCCATACCCATAGCCGACCCCTTAGCCTGTTAAACCTGTACTACCGGGTTTACTAAGAGCAACACTGAGCAGCCACATAGGCCTACACGTAAATATAAGCTATGGCGGAAATTGGTTTGTTTATCGTGTTCGTCCATGTAGGCCTACATGTATAAAGACGGATGTGTTTTGTAGGGGGACCTTTTCTGTTCAAATAGAGTTTCGGGTCAATACCTATATACTATTTATGTCTGCACACAGAATGTATTCTCAGTATATTTTGTTACATTTACCATAGAGCATTGCTGTAAACTACATGACCTGCATTTGAAAAGGGGACCAATCATTCACTGATTTTTGAATGAAAGAAATGAAAATTATTTAAAACCAATTGAAGAAATACCAAAAATTTAAATGCAATACACTCACGGACACGGGGGGGTCGATTCAAATGCAATACACTCATGGCCATGGGCGGAATCGATCGAAATCCTTTCCTATAATCGTCATGGAAGCAACGAATGCTCGACAAAAATGGTGGAATTGTTTGATATAGTACTTATTAAACCAGCAAGACTTGCTTACCTTTCGAGATTAGTCACTAACACATCCGCTGAGTCTTCGGGCAAAACATCATACAAGTCTTCTTCCACAAGTGGTCTCTTATACCCTCGACGGAAGAAGCCGAACATCCAGCTGCAAAAATAACAAACAGGTATGCCATTATTATTATTATTTGGATTTTGGCTACTCAAATGAAAATCACTTATCACATGGGTAAATAGCAAAATGTTCACCTATGTGGAATCGTTTCGTTTGACAAAAGAGTACCATTGGAATTTCACACTAGAAGTATACTGAGCGGTAATTTTCTTACATGTTCTTCGATTAAATCAGTTATTTGTCAACTTCTCAAAATCATTTCTTTAATGGATTGCCCTTTGTCTTCGGTTAATTGCTAAACAGTGGAAAGTTACGATGAAATTTAAGCAAATGGCAGTTTAAATCAGACACGATTTGTTTTAAAATTCAGGACAGCGACATGAGCAGAGAATCAAAGGTGATATTCAATGAAAATCTTTACAAAGCAAAATTTTACCATACAAAAAGCAAAAAAAAACTGAATTAAATGAAAAACAAGAATAACAAATGTAGAAAAAAACAATAAAAACTGAGAAAGAGAATCAACCAACCTTCCAACTTCAATGAAGGTTGAAATCACCATAGAAAATTTAAAAAACCAAGAGCAGCAGAATGAAAAAAGAATCACAGAGAATTGTTCGTATGGCAAAACGAAAACTTAATAAAATGCTGAGAGAAAATGATAACTTGAACGTGTTAAAATCCCTAATTTCCGAAAAATCCTTAAATCCAAGAAACAGTTTTACTTGGAGATATTAAAGCGTTAATGGATGCAATACCTCTTTCTGTGACTGAGGTTTCATTTCGAATGAGATGTTTCAGAGTCGGAGAAAAAAAATCAAAACTACACTTTACATAGATTTTTTTAAGAGATCTACCTAACTTCATTGAGTGACTTCACAGGAGTAAATTAACACGTACAACAAGGGTATGCTTGTGTGGCATAGGCCTAACTATGCCGGTACGGTCTTGACAATGAAAAAAAATCGATTCTTCTTTCCTACTGTAGTTTGGCAGACTCGTTCTTGAATAAAAAACTAAAAAAAATACAAACATGGAATTCCTGTCACGTATAGGCCGACCCTGCATGCTCTTCGATCAGGAAAACACCATGGCGAGGGTGCAAGCAAGCAAGCGCAGCGTTACGGAATTGGTAAGGTCATGCATTCAACAAGAGAAAATGGAATTGCAAACACCCAAGTACCAGTCAAGTTAACCAGTTGTAAACTGTGTATAAACTTGACTCACAATTTGCAGGGTGGCCTGTTTAGACTGAATCAGGGTGAATCGTGTAGTCTTTTACGTATCAAAAGATTTTACGGGCTCGGAGAGATTTTTTCTGAAACAATTAAACATCAGAATGCCACAATAAGTCACATTTTAGGGCCAAGTAGGAAATATATGGAAGCGTTTCCTTGCACTGCAAAATAATGAATCTTCAGACAATTTGCCTCATGATGATTGAGGCTTGCGCACAGGATATCTTTTGTCATGTCCGTCCATGTCATGCATGTTTAAAACTTTTTCTAGTCCATGGTTAGAGTAGTTCTCTCTCTTCTCCGTGGTTGGACTTTTACCACTTTTCCTTCCACCATGCTATGACATAAAGCCAGAACGGGCAGTGTCTAATGCATGGATAACTCCATGATAACTGAGCAGGAAGTTGAGAAGAATCCTGGAAACAGATCACCGGTGTGCACAGACTGTTTCAATCCAACTTACATGAAGAACGCTTTAGAAAAGATTCCTGCCCTTGACAGTGGATGTGGCTGCCTTCCGCTTTGGCATGGTGGAGCTTGACAAGGCTCGGTGACCCCGTCGTCATGAGAACCCTTGCTGTCGCCCGCTGAAGAAGGCCTTCTGTTTTGAGCCGCCATGAGAAATTGGGTGTTGGGCCACCTGCGCATGTGCTCCTATCTTAATATTGTTCAGGGCCGAACCTGAACCTTAGCACATCCTTTGTGATGAAAATGAGATGTCTGATGTAATTCTTTTGTTATCCCGTCATCTAATGCAGCAGTAGCCTTTTTCAACGGCTCAGTTGTTCAATGTGATGGTCATGCTTTGTTGATCGTGTGGGTACGTCACCTCGAAACCGAGTTGTAAATAGCTAGCCTACACTTGTTTATCTTGCAAGGAGTTTAGGTAACGTACCAACAATTACTGTGGTGTACAAAAGCTCGACAAGTCTACTTGATTGTTTGTGCTTGTAGCTTTAATGAAAATGCTTGAGCGGACCTTACCGTTGTGATCAGAACGAGCAACTTTTTCTGTTTGCCGTATGGCTTCAACGGACCCAAAATTACGTGCGCTTTAATGGTTGCTAACCACAAAAATTGATCAGTATAAGCTATCATATTCAACATCAATAAATACCCCTATTTCAAACAATCAGGAAATATACTCACAAGTTTCTTAGGTATTAAAGTCACATAGGACCTATCAAATTAAAGCTCACTATCCCATCTTTCGTTTTCCTTTAAATTAATACTTTCGATGTTATTTCTTTTTTTTCCTGGGTAACTCATTTATTTCTTTATCTTCAGTTCACATTCACATAACACAAGATACACTAGATTTGTTCTGAACATTATTAAAGCTAGATATGGAAAAGGAATCACCAAAATTAGTGTCGCAGTAACCTCACTCTTGAAAACGTCTAGAGTATAAGTCCGACTTTGAACTAAATCTTCGATTTTCACTGTTCACAATAGATAATTTTTTTTACAGAGAAAGTACAGCTTAACCTTTTTTTAAAAACTAAGATAGAGGGGAATGATGGGGTGGTTCACATTCCTGTTCTCTGTTTCAAGTATATCTTGAAAGGTTCGCTTAACAGCTTTAACAACAGCACCGTATTGAGTAAAGTTTGTACGAACGTTAAATTTGTCTTTAAAAGAATTAAGTGGTAGAAACCTTCCATTGTCATCTAGAAGATTACTAATATAAAGAATACTGGCCGACGTNCCAGTGTCTATAATAAATACATTTGTTACCAACTTTAACAAAATCGTTGAACCAAAGACTACTTTTTAAGACGTCTTTGTGGGACATAGATTTATGACAAGAGGTAAATTTATACCAGGAGTTCAATACATCGGCCCAAATTTGATTATGTTCATATAAACGGTTATTAGCAGTGAACCAATGAAAAGAACCCCCTTTGAGAACCACCTCTTGAAATCGCCTCGATGGCCATCATGCGAGCTGCCAAGGACCCTCTCACTATTCCGCCGTGTGAATACCCTGCAAATCGGACAAGCGCCAGAAACACGACCAGGAAAAAGCACCCCGCAACAATGGCGTAAAACATGTTTGATGGAGGATACCTGTCGGATTGATAATTGAAAACAAACATCAAGCAATCAAGCTGTGTTAAGTTTGACGTCTCTCTGAAAACGTGCATGTATTGGCTTTATACCGAAGATGGCCATTTTAGATCATGCTTCCCAACATCAAAGGAATACTGACCGTTCGAAAGTGGGAAAGGAGCCTGCCCTTTTGTTACTTTAAAAAAATATGTTTCAGTTAGATAGGACAAGTTGACATGACTTCCGCAATTTGGAACTTTCTATCAAAGATGATGGATATTACACTGTATTATTTGCCACCATTGACTCATTTCCGCACCTATTAAGTATTATCACCTTTGTTTTCCATTCTATAGATGATCGACTCGTGCATGAGGTAATAGCAACTGGACTAGTTCTTGTAGGTAGCTGGTCTACCTGTTCGCCTGGAGCAAAATGAACCTCGTGTACGTTTTGGTAAATCATCGGTCGGGGAGATACGAGAAGTAGTCGATTAAAAAGGAATCAAATTATTGACAAACCTTGGCTTTGTATTGGTCACTTTTCGCCCATTTGGCTTTTAAAAAGATTGTGTATACTTTGTCATTTATATCAGTGGAAATTAACAAACTTTGGAGTTATCAGAGACACATTTTATCTGGTTGAGGCATGTGGATGATCACTTTTTCATTTGTTATGATCAATGAAAATGTCAAGTCTTTTACGCAACATCGTTTGACATTATTCATACATTCAAAAAATATCTCAGAAGCCCCAGCGTGAATTTTGGCAACTACAAATTAGTGTTTGTTAGTAAGTTAAACAAGAAGAAATTGAACACACGTTAAAACCCCTCAATAATGCTTACAAGCTCATGCTAAGGAAGTTCCATACTTCAGAAGAAGTGCAGTAGAGGCCAAAGGCGTCAGTTATCGACATATAAAAAACGACTGTGGCGCAACCGAAGACCGTTTTGACCATCCTGACCGGTTTTAACCATCCTGTGAACTGTCACTGACGAGGCTATATTGTCCAGTCCCTTGAAAATACAAGACCAAGTAGCCTGGGCCATTGACAAGGGACCAAATATTTTGATTTCTTGACATTACGATTCAATAGGCCTACTCCTTAGTTATTTGGTCTGGTAGCCTCCATCGACAAAATGACATGCTCGCTTGGAAGCCCAGTAGTGCCATCGTCAAATATTTTGATCTCAGTGCTCGCATTTGCTTTAAATCTCAGGGTCGGCATTTTCTGAAAAATCCATTACGTGTTGACAAGGGCACAGGACAGGCAATGAACAAAACAAATAAATCAATCTTAAAACCAAATCAAACAACCAAGCATGGACAACAACTTCCGAAGACCATGGTCAAAAACAAATTCGGTCATTTTCGGCGCTGGATAAATTTGTCAGGTTTGTGTACCTGATTCTGGCGCTTACCTGACTTTTGTTAACACTGAAGCTCGAGTCCTGCAGTGTAAGTTTCACTTTGACGGGGCGATCCCTTAATGATCTTCAGCCCTTGAATGGAGGCTAAGAAAACAAACCACGTGGTATTTCAGGTGTCGCACACAAAGACCGGGTCCATTGACAAACGCATGTGCTGAAACATGACAGGGAAATCCCCCAATGAGAAATACTACGCTGCGGGTTATGGGGGTGTCTGCAGGTCAGAGGTTGACTACACTTGTGTTCTTATATAACCTCAACTTTCCATCCATTAAATGATCTTAACAATAGGCTAATTTTTATAAACACATGAAACCAACACAAAAGTTACTCTTTTTGCTGAATGCCGAAACCCTGTGATGCTATAATTCAACACCCCGAAAAGGAACAAAACTCTATGACAAAACTTATGCCTCATGCTTGTCGCCTGGGATGTTATAAAATGACTTTCTGTTTTAATAATCAAACTTAACAGCACCTCTGTAGACTAACATTTACTGACTCAGATATTTGCAATGATGTCATCTGACAAGTTACTGACGACAGATGCTTCTGCACGTGCGTTAAAGGCACAGGATTAATAAAGATGCGCTTAAAAACACATACAAATATCGGAATAGTTCTCACACAAAATTTAAGTTCTTTATCTAAATATTTTCCTTACAGCAAACGAAGACATGTTTAGACAAAATCTCAGTTTTAAAATTCAATATTTTAAAGCACAGTTTGGTTCCCGGGCTGTATGTGTTGGGATGTTAAACAGACCCATAACGTTAATATTGGACAAACGTTACCAATCAAATTATGCATGGAAAACATAGTAGTTCCTTTACGCTTCTCAACGAGTTAGGAGTTTCTAGCCTGAACGGATTTTGAGATAAAAAGGAAACGAAGAGAACATGTTTAAGTGACAACGTTTGTTTATTGTGTACACGCTGGTCGGCCCGTTTCCCGCGCTTTTGGATAATCAGAGATTGGATATAGACCATCACAGTCACTTGTAACTGAACTGAAATAATAAGTCCATAAGCCAAAGGCATACTCACCAAATGTCGATCATGCAGTAAGTGTGGAACAGAGGAATAGGTCAGATTATGGACTGAAACGTAACCAGACCTGTTGCTCTCGTTTCAATTTATTGTAAGTGCACAGAACTAGCTCGAGCTGGATTTGCATAAAGAACATAAAGATCACGCATGTACGGTGGCCTAAAAGTGTCATGGGATATCAGTAATTGTCACAATAAGCCACTTGCGAGTTAAATTTGAATAAAATCTTTGTTATAAATACGCTGTGTTATCTGATTGCACAGAAAAAGTAACAGTTTGAATTCCCCAGACTAAAGACACTGTTGCTATACCTCGTGATTCGAGGCAAGGTTTTGCATAGCGACCACCATCTCTTATACCCAGCAAGAAATGGGACCGAGGGGTACCCCCCCCAACATGTCCAATCCCTATACAAATTCCAGACTATTGTTATTTCACACATCCCCCAAGATGTCTGAAAGGAATTCCCCAGTTTCCTGCGAGACAATGACCAACACAAAACAGGGGGGTTCTCTCCGTCTCATACCTTGCTGCATATGCCATCTCTGGCATGGACTGGTTCCTTTGTGCCGTTCTTATCCATTGAGTATTAATCCGTTGAGGGGTTTTTGGAGTAGCATAAATCTCAACATTGCTCAGCCTTGCACTGTAGAAGCCTGAACGTTTGACATTTAATATTTGAACATGCAGAGCGTTTATAGACGTGAACGAGTTTGACTTGTAAAGTGTTTATCATCAGGACATAAAACGCCTGTTTAGAGCGGATTAAAATGTGAATCCCACTATTTCCCGTCAATACTCTAAGTGCCGATGAAATCCGAGCCACATGGATCTCTTTTCGCGTCCCCGACACGTCTGCTGTCTGTTGCTAGCGGCAAATGTAGTGAAATCGGACTGTTTTAGTTGCATTTCTTACATAGGTTCGTGCATATAGCACGCATATATATTTCGGGATCTCGTATGGGTGAGGATTTTCTGAAACTAAAACATTATTCAGGCCTATGTAAACTGTTTTTGTTCCCGTGTTAAGTTGAAGTATTTGGCTTGCCACTCTTTACTTCACTACGATCGTTACCCAACTTGTTATGCACCCTTTATAAACGTGTCAAAACGTATGAAAAAGCTGGTGTTGCATCCTATACAAATCACACAAACCGAACCGACCACGTGCCAAACAAATTCCTTAATTAATCATGCACAT